CTGAGTATACCAGGAAGTGTACGGTAGGGTTATAATTGAAAGAATTAGAGGTAAGACAGAATGTAGGATTGCGGATGAGCAAGGAGGTTTCGGAGTGGGTAGATGTGTAGATCAAGTGTTTACATTGAAGCATATATGTTAACAGTATTTAGATAAAGGTAGGAAAGTTTTTATTGCATTTATGGATTTAGAAAAGGCATATGATAGAGTGGATAGGGGAACAATGTGGCAGATGTTGCAAGTATATGGAATAGGTGGTAAGTTACTAAATGCTGTAAAGAGTTTTTATGAGGATAGTGAGGCTCAGGTTAGGGTGTGTAGAAGAGAGGGAGACTACTTCCCAGTAAAAGTAGGTCTTAGACAGGGATGTGTAATGTCACCATGGTTGTTTAATATATTTATAGATGGGGTTGTAAAAGAAGTAAATGCTAGGGTGTTCAGGAGGCGGTTGGAGGCAGTGGAGATGTCCTGTCTAAGTGCAATGTGTGGTGTAAATATTGAGCAGAAAATTCGGAGTGTGGAAATTAGGAGAAGGTGTGGAGTTAATAAAAATATTAGTCAGAGGGTTGAAGAGGGGTTGTTGAGGTGGTTTGGTCATTTAGAGAGAATGGATCAAAGTAGAATGACATGGAGAGAATATAAATCTGTAGGGGAAGGAAGGCGGGGTAGGGGTCGTCCTCGAAAAGGTTGGAAGGAAGGGGTAAGGGAGGTTTTGTGAGCGAGGGGCTTGGACTTCCAGCAGGCGTGCATGAGCGTGTTCGATAGAAGTGAATGGAGACGAATGGTATTTGGGACCTGACGATCTGTTGGAGTGTGAGCAGGGTAATAGTTAGTGAAGGGATTTAGGGAAACCGGTTATTTTTATATAGTCGGACTTGAGTCCTGGAAATGGGAAGTACAATGCCTGCTCTCTAAAGGAGGGGTTCGGGATATTAGCAGTTTGGAGGGATATTTTGTGTATCTTTATACGTATATGCTTCTAAACTGTTGCGTTCTGAGCACTTCTGCAAAAACAGTGATTATGTGTGAATGAGGTGAAAGTATTGAATGATGATTAAAGTATTTTCTTTTTGGGGATTTTATTTCTTTTTGGGTCACCCTGCCTCGGTGGGAGACGGCCGACTTGTTAAAATATATAATATTTATATATTTATATATATATATATATATATATATATATATATATATATATATATATATATATATATATATATATATATACATGTATATATATATATATATATATATATATATATATATATATATATATATATATATATATATATATATATATATATATATATATATATATATATACACACACCCGCATAGCGACTTTAATCCGTGCAAGAGGGCTGGTTGTTATGCGAAATGTTCGGTATGCGAATGAATTTTCCCCATAAGAAATAATGGAAATCAAATTAATCCGTGCAAGACACCCAAAAGTATGAAAAAAAAAAAAATTTTTTACCACATGAAATGTTAATTTTAATACACACAAACTGAAAAAGGCATGCACAATTACATGACACTTACTTTTATTGAAGATCTGGTGATGATTGATGGGATGGGAGGAGGGAAGAGAGAGTGTTAGTGTTTAGAAGGGGAATCCCCTTCCATTAAGACTTGAGGTGTCGAGTCCTTTTCTGGGGTTACTTCCCTTCTTCTTTTAATGCCACTAGGACCAGCTTCAGAGTCACTGGACTTCTTTCGCACAACATATCTGTCCATAGTGGCCTGTACCTCTCGTTCCTTTATGACTTCCCTAAAGTGTTTCACAACATTGTCAGTGTAATAATCACCAGCACGGCTTGCAATAGCTGTGTGAGGGTGATTTTCATCCATGAAGGTTTGCACTTCAAGCCACTTTGCACAGATTTCCTTAATCTTTGTAGTAGGCAACTTCTTCAATTTCTCTCTCCCCTCCTCTGAACCAGTTTCCTCAGGTCTGGCCTCTTGCTGTTGAAGTTGATCTATCAGCTCATCAGTGGTTAGTTCTTCATTGTCCTCTTCCACCAACTCTTCCACATCATCCCCACTAACCTCCAACCCTAAGGACTTTCCCAATGCCACAATGGATTCCTCAACTGGCATAATCCTCTCAGGGTTAGCCTCAAACCCTTCAAAATCCCTTTTGTCTACGCATTCTGGCCACAGTTTCTTCCAAGCAGAGTTCAAGGTCTTCTTAGTCACTCCCTCCCAAGCCTTACCTATAAGGTTTACACAATTGAAGTATATTAAAGTGATCTCTCCAAAAGTCTCTTAGAGTCAGTTGAGTTTCTGAGGTCACTACAAAGCACCTTTCAAACAGAGCTTTTGTGTACAGTTTTTTGAAGTTTGCAATAACCTGCTGGTCCATGGGCTGCAGGAGAGGAGTGGTATTAGGAGGCAAAAACTTCACCTTAATGAATTTCATGTCTCCATAAAGTCGCTCTGCCACGTCTGTAGGATGACCAGGGGCATTGTCTAACACCAGGAGGCACTTAAGTTCTAATTTCTTTTCAGTTAGGTAATCTTTCACATTGGGGGCAAATGCATGGTGTAACCAGTCATAGAAAAAGTCCCTAGTGACCCATGCCTTACTGTTTGCCCTCCACAGCACACACAAATTCTCCTTGAGGACATTCTTTTGCCTGAACGGTCTGGGAGTTTCAGAGTGATACACTAATAAAGGCTTCACTTTGCAATCACCAGTAGCATTGGAACACATCAACAAAGTAAGCCTGTCTTTCATAGGCTTATATCCTGGGAGTGCCTTTTCCTCCTGAGTAATGTAGGTCCTGCTTGGCATTTTCTTCCAAAACAGGCCTGTTTCATCACAATTAAACACTTGTTCAGGTTTCAGTCCTTCAGTTTCTATGTACTCCTTGAATTCCTGCACATATTTTTCAGCTGCTTTGTGGTCCGAACTGGCAGCCTCACCATGCCTTATCACACTATGTATGCCACTACGCTTCTTAAATCTCTCAAACCAACCTTTGCTGGCCTTAAATTCACTCACATCATCACTAGTTGCAGGCATTTTTTTAATTAAATCCTCATGCAACTTCCTAGCCTTTTCGCTTATGATCGCTTGAGAGACGCTATCTCCTGCTAGCTGTTTTTCATTTTCCACACCAATAAGAGTCTCTCAACTTCTTCCATCACTTGCGATCTCTGTTTCAAAAACACAGTTAAACCTTTGGCAAGAACAGCTTCCTTGATTGCCTTTCTGTTGCCCACAATAGTAGCGATGGTTGATTTGGGTTTCTTGTACAACCTGACCAGGTCGGCGACACGCACTCCACTTTCATACTTATCAATGATCTCTTTCTTCATCTCTATTGGAATTCTCATCCTTATTGCTGTAGGGTTGGCACTAGAAGCTTTCTTGGGGCCCATGGTCACTTATTTTCCAGATAAAGCACCGAAAACACCGTAATAATACGAAATATTCGATTGTATGCTTGGATGTTACCGCGGAGGCTGGCTGGTAAACAATGCCACCGGCGGAACATGTGAGGCTGGCTGAGGGCGCACACTGGACGCGTCTCGGACGAAGAGCGGTGAGCGGGTTTTTGGGCGGTATGCGAGGCAAAATTTTTGCGATAAAAGCGAGCGGTTATGCGGATTAGTATCGGGTATGCGATGCGTACGGTATGCGGGGGGTAACATGTATTTTTTTATATATATATATAAATAATAATATATATATATATTATATATATATATATATAGATAAAGAATCACACACAAAGTGGGAGTTGTCACAGCTGCTCTTTGCTGATGACACTGTGCTCTTGGGAGATTCTGAAGAGAAGCTGCAGAGATTGGTGGATGAATTTGGTAGAGGTGTGCAAAAGAAGAAAATTAAAGGTGAATAAAGGAAAGAGTAAGGTTATGAGGATAACAAAAAGATTAGGTGATGAAAGATTGAATATCAGATTGGAGGGAGAGAGTATGGAGGAGGTGAACGTATTCAGATATTTGGGAGTGGATGTGTCAGCGGATGGGTCTATGAAAGATGAGGTGAATCATAGAATTGATGAGGGAAAAAGAGTGAGTGGTGCACTTAGGAGTCTGTGGAGACAAAGAACTTTGTCCTTGGAGGCAAAGAGGGGAATGTATGAGAGTATAGTTTTACCAACGCTCTTATATGGGTGTGAAGCGTGGGTGATGAATGTTGCAGCGAGGAGAAGGCTGGAGGCAGTGGAGATGTCATGTCTGAGGGCAATGTGTGGTGTGAATATAATGCAGAGAATTCGTAGTTTGGAAGTTAGGAGGAGGTGCGGGATTACCAAAACTGTTGTCCAGAGGGCTGAGGAAGGGTTGTTGAGGTGGTTCGGACATGTAGAGAGAATGGAGCGAAACAGAATGACTTCAAGAGTGTATCAGTCTGTAGTGGAAGGAAGGCGGGGTAGGGGTCGGCCTAGGAAGGGTTGGAGGGAGGGGGTAAAGGAGGTTTTGTGTGCGAGGGGCTTGGACTTCCAGCAGGCATGCGTGAGCGTGTTTGATAGGAGTGAATGGAGACAAATGGTTTTTAATACTTGACGTGCTGTTGGAGTGTGAGCAAAGTAACATTTATGAAGGGATTCAGGGAAACCGGCAGGCCGACTTGAGTCCTGGAGATGGGAAGTACAGTGCCTGCACTCTGAAGGAGGGGTGTTAATGTTGCAGTTTAAAAACTGTAGTGTAAAGCACCTTCTGGCAAGACAGTGATGGAGTGAATGATGGTGAAAGTTTTTCTTTTTCGGGCCACCCTGCCTTGGTGGGAATCGGCCAGTGTGATAATAAAAAAAAAAAAAAAAAATATATATATATATATATATATATATATATATATATATATATATATATATATATATATATATATATATATATATATATATATATATATATTGCAGAAACTCAAGGGGTCATGCTTTTATATGAATAGTAGGTAAGTTTTTCTGTTTTTTTTTTTTTGTTGTTGACTTTGCATAATATTTTTCTCTAATTTTCCTTTCTTTCTCCCCATGCAGGTATTGCCATGTAGCACGCAACACGTTCATTGATACAGACATATATGACTATCGCTTCCAGGACTGTGAAATGATAGACAACAAATTCCATGCACTTGCACCTGGCTGTACTTTAGATTTTGATTATAATATCCACTATAGAGAAGTGTTTCAAGAGAATTTGATTGGACAGCTGACGATGATCCCCGGCACCCTTATCACATCCCTCCTCATGGATAAGTTAGGCAGAGTTAGGATTATGAGTGAGTATACCCTCTTCGTTTGGTATTATTGACACATTAAATGTATGTGATATATAAAAAAAAGGTGGAGTTATCCAAACAAATGGCCCTCTTGTGAACTAAAGGTAGAGAAATTAACTTACAAGACTGAGGATCCTGAGGAATATCTATTGTGAACTAGGAGATGTAAATATATTCAGCCTCGAAGATTAAGTCACAATACTGTGGCTGGAACAATACACACTTAACTCACAGTTTGGAGAGGAAATTTGATAACGGTCCAGGAGAAATCAAAACATCGTCTCAAGTTAATCTCCAGATTGTGGGTTTGATTTGAACATTGTACTGTGGTATAAACCTGGGTAGTAGATACCAACAAATTGGTTTAAAAGGACACGTGTCATGTTAAGCCAAGAATAGGCTCTGCTTTTACTTTTCATATGTGACATACTGTTTACTGTATTCTGTATCATAATTATAGACCAGTATTGGTCTGTAAGCTTAGCATGTAACAGTCACACACAAAAAAGTGCTTTGATATTTGTGCAAGTGTAATACAATCCTTGTCGTGACCCCGAAATCATAATGACATGAGTGCAAACAAACCATACCAGGGATGAGGTTTGAACCCGCAGGACACACGTCTGTAAAAACTTGCATTTGTGGACACAGTGGTGCCTATGCTAATCTTCCTATGGTGTAGAAATATACCTAGTTGGACGAATCTTATTGAAGCTAGCTGGCTCATTGGCTAACATGATGGTCTGGAGTTTTGAGACTCTCTGACCGCGGGTTCAAACCCCACCCGTGTTATGGTTTGGTTTAATCCTTGTCGTCTTCACAACTTTTTTTGTTTTTCAGGTTGAACAGATAGAGCTTCTGTACTTTTGTACTGTATTCTGAAGATCCCAGTATAACAAATATTCCAGATGTTTCTATATTTCTAGAGTTAGACTCACAACCCACAAATATACAAAGATACTAAGTGAAACATTTTTGAAAATTCTATGTGAGACCATTGTTATTAAATCCTTTGTCATTGTTAACTGGTATGCATTTCTTATATAAATGTAGTAATCATTTCTTGTATGATGACTGAGAGTATTTTAACTCGCGATTATTATATTTTTTAATGTACAATATCTTCGTACAGGTGTATCTATGGCGTTGTCATCTATATCAGCATTCTTCATTTGGTTTCTTAACAGCAAAATTGGTGTTATTGTATTTGAAGCCATATTCAACTTCATCTTTATATCTGGATGGAATGCGCTTGATATTGCATCGACAGAAGCTTTTCCCACTCATATCAGGTAATGTGAAAGTTCACCCCTGTTACATCACTAGCTTCAGTACAGTAGTGACTGAGACAACACCTCTGTACGTATTTTGGTACCATAGTGACTGAGACAACACCTCTGTACGTATTTTGGTATCATAGTGACTGAGACAACACCTCTGTACGTATTTTGGTACCATAGTGACTGAGACAACACCTCTGTACGTATTTTGGTACCATAGTGACTGAGACAACACCTCTGTACGTATTTTGGTACCATAGTGACTGGGACAAGTGCGTACTTCAGTACCATAGTGACTGAAACAAGTGCTTACTTCAGTACCATAGTGACTGGGACAACAAGTGCATATAATTAAAAAACTAATCAGAACAAGCATTTATTGATAACACTCAAGTCTGAATGAAACTTAATCCAAGATAAAGGCTTGCTCAGCACTGTTTTCATACCCAGTGGCTGTAGTATATTGATCAAAGAATATATACACAATAACTCAGAGAAAGTATATAGAAGGGTAGATTGATTTATAAGCTCAATGCAACAGGTATAAATGTTAAGATAGTATTGGCTGAAACTGGTAGATAATGTAGTAGTACTATTAATGTTACTGAGGTGATAAAACACATTAAAGAGGTGATAAAACACATTTTGCACTAGGATATTTTTATTGCCAAAATGTTTCGCCAGTACAGTAAGCTTCTTCAATTAGATACAAGTGAATGCAGTACTGGAAGCAGTATTAATTAACGTGTTCAGTCCGTCACCTTTGGTGGGAGGTGGTCAGTTAATCGAGCCTAAAGCATAGACATGTGGCCAGACCTTATATACTAGAGTAGAGGTGAGATGAAGCATCTGGAGTAGATGTCACAGGTGAGCACGGCCCACGAGTGTTTGCAAACTCGTTTCATAGGCTTACCCCGTACCAGATACCAGTGTTGCTGTGTTGGACAAATATCACAGTATGGAGATATACAGTGTCGACAAGTTGATAAATAAGTTACGTTTGCACCACTTGAGTTTTCGTAATTAATCCATTACAGTGACTAAACCCGAATCTGACGAATTTCTAATTAATTTTCCCCATAAGAAATAATGGAAATCCAATTAATCTGTTCCCAACACCCAAAAGTATTAAAAAAAAAATAATTTTTATGCATGAAATATACATTTCCCTACACAGAAAACTATGAGACATGTAGAATAAAACAATACTAAAATGACACTTACCTTTATTGAAGACTTACTGATGAATGATGAGATGGGAGGAAGGGAGAGGATGGAGGTGTACTATTGTTTGGAAGGGTAATCCCCCTCCATAAGGACTTCAAATACCAAGTTCTTTTCCGGGGTTACTTCCCTTCATTGTTTTTAATGCCACTAGAACCAGCTTGAGAGTCACTGGACCCCTGTCGCTCAAAAAAGTGTTCCAGAGAGGTCTGTATCTAGTGTTTCTTTAAAACTTCCCTAAAATGGGACACAACATTGTCATTGTAAATGTTGCCAACACGGCCTGCAACAGCTTTGTCAGGGTGATGTTCATCCACCTTTGTCCACATTGTACAAATCTCCTTAATCTTTTAAGAAGGCACCTTCCTTCATCTCTCTTCCTCCTCTGAAGCAATTTCCTGAGCTGTGGTCTGTCGCTGTTGCAGATGAAGCTCTTGCAGCTCTGTAGTGATTAGCTCTTCATCGTTGTCCTCCACCAACTCTTCCACTTCCTTGAAACTCACATCCAACCCCATGGAATTCCCCAATGTCACAATACTTTCCACAACTGGCATAGGCTCCTCAGGGTCAGCCCCAAACCCTTCAAAATCCCTCTCTTGTACACATTGTGGCCACAATTTTCTCCAAGCAGAGTTCAAAGTCCTGGAAGTCACTCCCTCCCAAGCCTTACCTATAAGGTTTATGCAATGGAAGATATTGAAGTGATCTTTCCAGAACTCTCTTAGGGTCAATTCAGTGTTTGAGGTCACTTGAAAGCACTTTTGAAACATTGCTTTGATGTACAGTTTTTTGAAATTTGAAATGACCTGCTGGTCCATGGGCTGGAAGAGAGGAATGGTATTAGGGGCAAGAACTTTACTTTGATGAAACGAAACTCCGGCACCATTTGCTCTTCCAAGTCTGGAGGATGAGCAGGAGCGTTGTCCATTACCAGGATGCAATTGAGTTCCAATTTATTTTCCAGGAGGTATTTCTTCACACTGGAATCAAACACGTCATTAAACCAATCAAGGAAAATGTCCCTCGTGACCCATGCCTTACTGCTTGCCTTCCACATCACACACAATTTACTCTTGGCGACACTGTTTTTCTTGAACACTCTGGGATTTTCAGTTATACACCAGTAAAGGCTTCACTTTGAAATCCCCACTTTCATAGGCTTGTGCCCTGGGAGTGCCTCTTCTTCCTGTGTAATGTACATCCTCTTTTGCATTTTCTTCCAAAAGAGACCCATTTCGTCACAAATGAACACTTGGTGGGGTTTTAATTTTTCAGCCTCTATGTACCCCTTGAATTCCTGAACATATTTTTCAGCCACTTTTTTGTCAGAACTGGCAGCCTCACCATGCCTTATCACATTGTGTATGCCACTACGATTCTTAAATCTCTCAAACCAGCCTTTGCTGGCCTTAAATTCACCAATATGAGCAGTAGTTCCAGGCATTTTCTTTACGAGATCATCATGCAGCTGTCTTGCCTTTTAACAAATTATTGACTGCATAACACTATCTCCTGATAATTATTTCTCGTTGATCCACACCAACGACAGTCTCCACATCTTCCAGTATTTGCAATCTCTGTTTTGTAAGCATATTTGCACCTTTCGCAACAACAGCTTCCTTAATTTCCTTTCTCTTGGCCATGATAGAAGCGATGGTTGTATGGGGTTTGTTATACAACCTGGTTAGCTCTGCAACACGTACTCTATTTTCATATTTTGTAATGCTGTCTTTTTTTAATTCTATAGTGTTTCTCACCCTCTAGAAGCTTTCTTTGGGCCCATGGTGGCTTATTTAGCAGTTGCAAGCACTAAAAAGAATGGAATAATACAAAATATATCGTATGAACAAGTGGGAGCGTCCTCACTGGCTGATAATCAATGGTACACTGGCTGTAAATTGTGTCGGACCACTTAGGCCGCACAGACACGTTCAGGATGAATGACTAATACCGAGTTCAGTGACGATCACTGAGCCAATATTTTGGCGAAAAAGTGTTACTGATCCCGAATACATGTATATTGTGAATTCTGATGACAACGTAATCTGGGGGTCCACTGTATTATTATTCCTGTGATTGCAGAAGCGCTTTGTATACAGTTAGTTTAATATCCATACCCATCCTGTGCGCTGTAGTCAAAAGATTACAGAGGTACATAATGGGCCCAGGGACTAGGTTGCAAAGTTTTGATAGCTAAAAGAAGTTGCAGTACGAACGAAAAGTTTTGGCAGTATACACAAGTGTTGCAAATATGTCTTATTTATCAACTTGTCGGTACTGTATACCTCAATACCGTAATATTTAATGACTAATTATGGTAGGAGAAGAGGTGATATAGGTGTTTAAACTCAAGAATTGTGGAGTAGAATGAAGGTGGGGTGACCATGACAATCCATATCAATAGAAAGTACAGTATACAATTGATATAGGATTGCTGACATGATTGACATATTTTACGGACAGCTCCTGGTTATGCAGAACATTTTGAGCAGCCTTAACATTAATTTATAGCCTCTGAACATATATTAGAGGCACCAGTAAGTGGTTGCCTGATGTTTTTTCTTGCTTCTTCCTACAACTTTTCAATTTTATTTTACTCATAACTCAAGAAAGACTCATCCAATCACCTTCAAATTTTCAGCGTTTGTGTATGGTAATGAGGACCAAATTCATGCAACAGTTGGCATGTTCACGTATCCTATGACCATAGTTGTCGAACCCATTCTCATCCTTCCTCATTGGCATAGCTTCAAACTTTCCAAAATGGTGCCTCCTAATTCAGTGACAGAAAAGAATGAAATTCAAATATGTAGGAGCAAATCTGACTATTTTGTGCAAAACAGTGATTTTTTTATTCCCATTAAGTCATATTAAATAAATTTCAGTTTCCCTTTTCAGAACAGCTTCAATGTTTAATGGCTGGTGCATCTTAGGTTTAGGAGAGCACCTATTAATTTTTGTTTGTGTTCAGGCAGATTTGTTGGTGTAAAATATTGTAATAAAAAAATAGAATCATTGTAATCCATGCCTTAACTGGAGAATGACTCCTCTGATTAGCTTAAAATTTTGACCACCTATGTGGTTTCCTGAACACAAAGCTCATGCTGCTATTGGGTGGCTTGAGTCTCAATTTCTCAATTTGATTGAATAAATAGTGATATTCATTTATTTTATTGAGTATGGAATACTTTAACTTAATCTTAATTATAATTAGACTTCAGTTAGTTTAATTTGCCCAAAATGCATTGCATATCGAGGGACTTTCAACATAAGTTAAAAAACATTTTAATACAATATCTGACCACCTTCGTATTTACATGGTAAATATTTTTTAATTTAATTATTTTAATGTAATCGTGTATGAAGATTCCAAATGCCCTCAACACCTACAACATGCTTATGAAGATATTTACTGTACTTGGATGACAGCCAACAATCAATCTTTAAGAATACAACTAAAAAATATTCAATTGCAACTTAAAGATTAATATACAAATTAAAAAAAAAAAAGATGAGGGGAAAATTCGTACATATACATATTGACAGTGGACGTAGTGTGGCCTAAGAGTTAGTGGAAGTAGCAAGATACGTATATCTGTTATCTTGAGTGTTTATGAGATGGAAACAAAAACACCAGCAATTGTGTAAAGCAATTACAGGTTTCCGTTTTATACTCTCTTTGTACAGTGGTAGTACCTGGTTGGGTGGTTGCACCCCAGTAGTTATTACATTAAAATAATCAATAGCTAGTTTAATATCTTTATTATGCACCCCATATCCATCCTGTG